GAAGAAGAAGTCTATTTGGAACAACCTCCAGGTTATATAATTAAAGGGCAAGAAAATAAAGTTTTAAAATTAAAGAAGGCACTTTATGGATTAAAACAAGCCCCAAGAGCTTGGAATACTAGAATAGACAAGTACTTCCAAGAAAATGGTTTTCTAAGGTGCCCTTATGAATATGCCCTTTATGTAAAAACAAATGAAGATGGGGATATTTTGATTGTGTGCTTATATGTGGATGATTTGATATTCACGGGTAACAATCCAAGTATGTTTGATGCTTTCAAGAAAGAAATGAGTCGTGAATTTGAGATGACGGATATGGGACTTATGTCATACTACCTCGGAATTGAAGTCAATCAAAGTGATAGAGGAATATCTATTTCCCAAGAAGGTTATGCAAGAAAAATTCTTAAGAAATTTAAGATGGATGGGTGCAAGCCGATTGACACACCGGTCGATTATGGGACAAAATTCTCCAAGTTTGATGAAGGGGATAAAGTTGATCCGACTGTGTTCAAAAGTTTGGTTGGGGGCTTGCGCTACTTAACATGTACGAGGCCCGATATTCTTTTTGGAGTGGGACTTATTAGCCGCTATATGGAAGCTCCAACATCTATCCATATGAAGGCCGCCAAAAGGATTCTACGCTACCTAAAAGGTACGATTAGCTTTGGATTGACTTACTCATCTTCTAAATATTATAAGTTGTTTGGTTATAGTGATAGCGATTGGGGCGGAGATATCGATGACCGTAAGAGTACAACCGGGTTTGTACTTTACATTGGGAATATGCCTTTCACATGGTCTTCAAAGAAGCAACCAATTGTGACACTTTCGACTTGTGAAGCTGAATATGTTGCCGCTACGTCATGTGTATGTCACATCATTTGGCTTCGAAGATTGTTGAAGGAAATTCACATGCCGCAAGAAGATGCAACCAAGATTTATGTTGATAACAAGTCGGCCATTGCACTTGACAAAAATCCCGTCTATCATGACCGAACCAAACATATTGATACTCGCTACCATTTTATTCGTGAATGAGTCGAGAACAAAGAGGTCCAAGTGAAGTATGTGAGGTCGCAAGATCAAGTTGCGGATATTCTTACAAAACCTCTCAAGCATGAAGACTTCAAGCGATTGAGAAGAATGCTCGGAGTTGGAAATCAAGTTTAAGGGGGGATGTTAGAATGTAAACTTGATTTTGGGCTAAGTTAATAATTGATGTTTGTTGTAATGGGCAAAGCCCAAAATAATAAGGAGTGTTCTAGAGGAGAAATGTTCTAGAAAGTTTCTAGAGTGTGAGACTTCTAGAGACATTCTAGAGAATAATTAATAATAGAGTATTCTAGATAAGGAGAATTCTAAAGAACTCTCCACCATTTATTGAGGATGTAAGTAGTATAAATATGTGTAGTTGTGCTCATTTGTAATCAAGCATCAAGCTAAGAAATCTTCAAGCAATAAAATACAAGTTCTCTCTTCTTCCATCCTCTCTTCTAGTTAGCTAAAAGCTTTTTCTACTTACACAATTTACTTCATAACGTCCTAAAATACTTAGCCTCTACCTCTAATATTCCAACATACCCGCCAGCGGCCGGCGGAGTACATCGAGATGTTAATCTAATAGTCTCTCATATTCTTATATGCTTAGTTACCTTAACCTTATTTCGCCATTGGATACACTCTTATTTCTTTTTAAAGAAAGTCATTTCCTTTGAATTAATTTATTATGATACATGATCTAAAATATGACACCGGTAGGCAGTTTTATTGGACACTTTTAACTACGATCAAACACTCTCTCATACACCCCCCCCCCCCCCCCCCCAAACGTGTCACATTTTCTTTTTGTTGATGATAGTTTTATTCAGAGGTTCTAGATAAGAATGCGAGGCTATAAAGAGGATATTAGCAAACTATGAAATGATGTCGGGACAAGCAATAAATTTAGTAAATCAAGTATTGTGTTTAGTCCAAATGTGGAGGCTTCCGTGAAGGATTATTTTTGTTGTATGAGATTGGTGTGTGAAAACAGTCCATCACTGGTCTAGCGGCCATGATCGGGAAGAACAAAATTACCATCTTGAAGTATTTGAGGGAGAGAATAATTAGTCGTATTAAGAGTTGAAATAACATATCTTTATTCCGTAGTGGGAAAGTGGTGTTATTAAAAGAAGTTATTCACACAATTCCGATCCTACTTATGCGATGAATGTGCTTCTTCTTCCTAGAGAGCTATGTGAGGAAATTGAAAGACTTATGAATGGATATTGGTGGAAAAGGGCAAAATTTGATCAAAAGGGTCTTAGATGGAGAAAGTGGGAAAGCATTTACACGCTAAGAAACACTCAACTTTGGGATTTAGGAGGATTGGAGTTCAGTATAGTCATGCCCACTAAGCAAGCCTCGACACTTACTATGGAGTCTAAGAGTCTGTAGAGTAAGGTTTTTAAATCATGGTATTTTCCGGAGTCCTCTTCCTTGGGAACAAAGGTTGGAATTAATCCTTCTTATGTATGGCAAAGCGTATTGAAAGCACAACACGTTGTAAAAAGTAATATTCATATAAGAGTGGGAGAGGCACACAAGTTTGGGCCTCTGTTAAGAGGTGTTATAAGGCTCTAGCAAGGACAACAGAAACTGGAAATGGGTATGGTTGGACTCAGATGTGGGATATTAATGTGCTGCCCAAGGTGAAATATCTTTTTTGTAAAACTGTCTACGATTCTCTTCCCACATTGGTCAACCCGTGTTGCCATGCAGTGCAGGTTCAAGCAATATGTCGAATGTGTGATGGTGATCGAAGCGGAGTCGGCTTATCATGTGTTCCGTACATCCCATAAGCAAAAAAGGTAGGGCTGCCACCCAGGACCCAATTTGTGGGGTACATAGCAAGTTTTGAAGGATGGGTGCAGTCGATTCTAGAGAATGGAGTTGATGAGAGATGGTGTATATTTGTAGTAATTATTTTAATTTTATGGAAGTGAAGCTACTTCTCATACTTAGGAGTGGACTCGGTCCCGGTCTAGTTCTGGTCCCCGACCGACCAGTCCTAATCAGTGGTGTGTGTTATGATCTCGGGTTCCATCTTAAAAGGTCAACCCGATAGGAGGAGTAACTCTGATCATATAGCACTTTATTACTTCAAAAAAAATTGATGTGGAACTTCAACACTCCTCCTCACGATCAGACACTTTGTCTAAATCGTGTCATCATTCATTTCTTCCATTGGTTCGTCGTTGTTATTTTTTTATAATCATCGACGATTTTTCATTGGAGGCTCACATCATTGTTATAGATCAATTTGACTTTGACACCATGTTAAGAATTGAGGTTCCATCTTAAAAGACCAGCCTGATAGGAGAAGTAGCTCTAATCTTAATATATCACTTTATTACTTCACAATTTTCTGATGTGAGACTTCAACAGTAAGAGAAGCCCGAGTTCGGCCTAGTTATATTCGGGTCTGGGATGGTTCCGCGTACCTTGGCAGTCTTGTCCCAGTTCTGGTCCTGGTCTGAACTCGTTCTATTCTATTTCTTTCACCAGAACGGGAACACAACAAGGACCAGAACCGCCCGATTCAGTCACCAAATAGGTCAACTAGGATTGTACCTTTCTTGGGCTAGTAGGGCCGGTCTCAGGCCCAAAGTCAGAAACTCCTGACCCAGTTCCGGATTGGGTCCACCCCTACTCATACCAAAAAGGTGTGTCTCCTTTTAAGTGAACTCATTTGGTGAGAACTCCAAGTTAAGCGTGCTTGCATGAGTGAGGACAAAGTGCATGGTAACAAGCTCATGTTGATTAGTGAGGACAGTATTACGTCTAGAGAGCATATATGGAGTAATGACCTCAGACCTTGTGGGGTCGGGGTGTTACAAAATATGGTGGTGCATGAATCTCCTAATCAGTTGGGAGGAAGCTAAGCAAATGAAATCAACGGCAAGATGGGGTCCGGTAAAAGTGAAAACACTGTGGAAACAGCCACAGTCAAGGTATATCAAAATCTATATCGATGCAGCAGTAAATGAGGCAGTAGGAGTTAGTGTGTGGGGATGCGTTGCCCTTACAGCCTTACTGAACATGGAGAGTTCATAAAGGCTTTCAATGAGACCAAGCGGGTGAATTTGTCCCCGACTGAAACCAAGGCAGTTGGCATACAAGAGGCCATTTCCAGCGCGATTCGAAAAGGATGGGAATGTGTTGAGTTTTAGTGAGATGCTTTAACAATGGTGCAAGGAATTTTGGGTGAGAGGAGTTTCTCGTAGGTTGATATCCGGTTTTTGTTGGAAACAAAGAGAAATTTCAGTCTCTCTTTTTGTAAACTGTGTGCGAATCGTGTTGCTCATTCATTGGCAAGACATGGAATTTTACTCTAACACCAATAATGTAACCTTGATGATATTCTTCATTTTCTATAGAACCGGTTGGCGAACGATATGTTTGATTAATTGGAATTGGGATTTTTTTTTTTAAAAAAAAGCTTTCAATCTAGATCCTTTTATGTATACACCTCTAAGAGGAAAGAACCACTGAACTCTGTAAATCTCGATATTTCAAAGTTCATCGGGCAAAACAAGAGAATTCATCAAAAAACTAAAGAAGCAGAACATGGATTCATCCACATCTGGAATCACTAGGACATCAAACTTCCCTTTACTGAAAATATTGAACCTTGGAATGGAGACTTTGTTGGAACATTTTATGTTGTGATTCAATTTTTAAATTTACTTTATCTGTTTTATTTATCTAGATAGATATGTCTTTTATTGAGCTTAGTCTAGCTTTTACACTTTGGCCCAATATGTTTAGGGCCCAATAATAGTGTAATGATTGCACATCGCCCAAGGTATAAATATTCCTTTTAGAGCAATGCGCATCATACACAAGCGATAGAATAGATAGTCGACATTCTTTTTCTAAGCTGAGAGCAAAGAAAATATTTTCTAGCAATAATAGCAATACTTTCCTTCTTCGATGAACTATCAATAGCAAAAATATTTTCCAACAAACAACTTTTATTTTAGTTTTTTTAAAGGAAAGCTGGCATATATATTAATTCAAACTCTCAGTGTTCAACTGAGACACAATACAACCCGGAGAATTACAATCAATATAGAAATCATTCGACACTAACCTCCCTCTGACCAACAATAACCATAAGTCCATCGGCCCCCTCACTTCTTTATAGTAGTCCACCCCAAAAAGAGCGAGACTAATCGCTGAAAATGTGAGAGCTTCGAGACTATTAGCGCCTGAATCAGCCTGATTGCCTCCAAACACAAAACTTAAAACAAACCAAAACATCAACCTACCCCCCTTATTGTTTGACATAAAAATAATAAAATAGAAATTGTAACACAGAAACGACTTAAAGTCCCATGATAGAAATAGTAAAACAATCTTCCAAACCCTAGCCGCACAGTTTCTCCATGGCGGCAGTTCAAGAGGGGGACGGATCATTATCTCTTCGCTTTCTTCCTCCATCATTTGTCTATCAATTACAAGTTGATCTCTGCCCTTTTCGGCTGGCAAAACACCCCAGGCGGCAGTCGACTTAGTCAGCTAAAGCAACCCCAACGATCCCCGAATCAGCCAGTTGAATTCCATGTTCACCCCTTTAACCGGACCCCAAACCGTCAATTTTCCATCTGGATGAAACACAGCTAGTGCCCTTCCCATCTCAGTCATCAAAAGAGCCAAAATGGCCAGACCAAGAATCGAATGGTTAAACCTCAGAACCCTGGTCGAAGCATATCCACGATCCACTTCTACCCCCTGGGCGCGATTGACATCCACACATAACTCGACCGACTTTTCTCCTGCACAGATGACCACGTTTGCGTCTCGGGACAGAAAGCCAATTGTTGCTTCCTTTAGCGACAATTCTTCGATCCAACACCTCGCCTCTCTCCTTGTCACCGACTCGGACAAATGCCCGCAAGATCCAGACGCCGCCGCACAAACCTAACCCTAGACCAAGCTAGGCACAAATCTCGCCGACTTACGTACCCTAGCAGCGGCGCACAAAAGAACACTACACCTAAGAAAGAATTAAAAAATCTCGAGTCTATCTTGTTATTCCCCCCATTCAACACACACACTACACGTCTTTTATTTTAGTTATAAATATGTAAATATTTCATTTTTAAAAGTATATAAAACTAAATATACGAAAATATGAAATGATTAGGGGCCCGTTTGGTAATGCTAAAATTGATGGAATCTACTGAAATTTATGATTTTTTTGCTGAAGTGGCTCAATTGAATTAGGATGTTTTTACTTGGATTGTTTTCAGTCCCAGTTCAGACCAGATCAAACTTAAGCAGATCAGATCAGACTTAAACTGACCAGATCAGACCAGACCAGGCTTATACAAACCAGACTAGACTAGACTTGACTTCCGAAGTTTTAAATATACAAAGACCGGACGTTTACGAGACCAGACCAGACCAGTTTAGACTAGACCTAAACAGATCAAAGCAGACCAGACCAGGCCAGACTTAAATAGACCACACCAGCAAATTACTGTCCAAGTAAAAACATCCTTAATCTGCTGAACTATCAAAAAAATACATGAAAACAACTAAAGTGGCTGGTGCTCTACATTAAATATGGTAAGAAAAGTAACTACAACCTTACTTTATTTTGATTGTATTTAATTCAGCGCGCGATATCAAAAATTACATGTTTGAAAAATAACTCAAGATATATTGCTTTTTATTATAATAATTGCTCTAAATAGGACTAAGAATGTTTTCTTGTGGATTGTTTTCAGTCCTAGACCAGACCACACCAGACCACACCAGATCAGACTTCCGTAGTTATAAAATACACAGAGACCAAACATTTAGCAGACCAGACCAAACCAGATCACTTTAGACTAGATCAGACTAGACCAGACAGATCAGACCAAACCAACAAATTTCAGTCCAAAAAAGAAAACATCCTAAAAGTTAATCAAAGTGCATCAATAGGATTATATGTTAATAATTCCCTAAACAAGACTTAATTGATTCTATTAAAAGAATAGGATCTCATCAATTAACGGTCCATGAATCTTGTTCTGTTCTTATAATGTTTTAATCTTATTTAAGGATTTTTTTTTATTATCATATCACATAGACATATATTTACAGAAATGATTTTTATATTTCAAAACGGAGTATTGTTTTAGTGAGATCGATTCACCAGAAAGAGTTCGACTGTCCAAGTAATCTCTTATTCTTATTCGATCGGGCGCTGGATTGTTCGATATAATACATACAGAAGTCAGTACATAGCATGAAATTTCTTTAGACCTAAGAAACACAGGCGACAAAACGAAAAAGAAAAAAGATACAAAGTCACGTATCTGACCTGCGAATATTATCTCTTCCTAATCCCCCTATAGCAAATTTCGCAATCATGGGAGCGGAGGTTTTGAGCCCGTTTGGTAGCACAAAAAACAGTTCATTTGAGCGATTCTATTGAAATTTATGAAGTTCTCGCTAAAGTGACTGTATTGGCTGATTCTGCTGATTTAAGAAAAAAATATTTTTAAAATATATTTTATTAATAAAACAAAGAAAAAATTATATGTAAAAATAACTAAAATGATCATCTACACTAACTTCAGCCAATACAGCCAGAAAAGTAACTTAAACCTTACTTTTTCTGCTTATTACACAAATCAGCGCGCGAAAGCAAAAATAACGCGTTTGGTGAAAAAGTTGGATGATAAGCCTGATAAGCCGAAAACAGTGTTGCCAAACGGCCTCTTAATATATTGAAAACTGACGCTTAAATGTTTGAAATAGATGATTCATATTTTTAATAATTTTTTTGCTAAAATATTATTGCATATTCAATCATAGAATCTGGTTTTCTTAAGTATATTAAACAATTATAGGTGTAAAGTGATTAAGTATTGTTTTTATACTTAAAAAAAAGATGACACCCCATCCCTGAGGGGCCCCCAACACCGACCGGACGGTACGTTCGAGGATGTAAATTGGACTATAATCACAATCTGACAGATAGAGAGAGACTCTATCCCCGTACTTGCGGAAGCACTATGCATTTTTTAGGCATAGTAATCGTGGAGAACTTTTATACTTTGTGATGGGTAACTGTGAGCTCTCTAAAGCTACATGCAAAAAATAAAGAGATAATTCTCCATATAGGAATAAATGTCATGTCATGCGCACAAATCTATATGTATATTAAATGACTTAAGTCTGTATCCCGCTCATATTTGAGGGCATTTTAGTAACTTCCTAAAATCTTATAAACGCACCTGGGCTTTCATGCCAGCGCATCTTAGATCTCTTCGTAAAATCTTATAAACGACCTCCTCTTCACCCTTCTCTACCTTTCTTTTGCTTTAGCTCATTTCCTGCTAAATCTGCACTTTTGAGCATTGTTTTCAAAATTTAAATACTTGTGCTTATCTAAAGGGCAACGAATCATGAGTTCCTTTCAATCATGCCTCTGTTAATTTGCAGGGATTTGAGATTCATCCATGAGATCCTTTCAATCAGGCGTCTGTTAATTTGCAGGGATTCGAGATCTGTCCGACACATATCAACGACTCCAATAGACTCGAAGAATCATCTTAGCCAAACTTCTCATTATTGGTTAGTATTTTCAAATCTAAATCTTTATATTTATTTGTCAGCTCTAAAAACATATATCGAGTTCCGTCTAAAACATATGTTATTCTTTTATGGGAAGGTTTTTTTCTTAACTACTTTTATGATTCTACTCAATGATTGGCAAGTAATTTAGTAATTACCTCAATAGTTTGAACTATACCCATATTGCTCATGTATGTCTTGGATTATATATAATTTTCATATTTGGAACGTGCATTAACATCCCCAGGGCACTATCTTGAGGCTTCTAAGAAGCAATCAATCTAATGCTAAAACAAAAGTATTTTTCAAGCAAGCAGAGACAAAGTACACTCAATAATAAGGGAAGAAAGAAAAAATAAAGGTGGACCTGCAAATCTGCAATATTTCTCTTCTTATAGTTGCCCAAGAAGTTCACACTTATTCTACATTGAGTTTTTAATCAAATCTTCAAAAGAAGTTTTGTCTTCTACTAATAAAAGGAAAATCGCAACAACTATGCCTTTATAGAATTTTACATAAGCCACCCAAATTAAAATAGAAATAGTCATAAGTTATTTATAATAAATTTCAAACATTTTTAGGAAGTTGCATTATTAACTCTTTACTGTAGCCTTTGATGCTTCCTTATGACTATTTAATAGTTTTTACATATTCCTTTTGTAAATTTATGACTTCTGATATTTCTTGAAAATGAGAGCTGATTAGTGAAAGTGGATTAGTGTGATTTTATTCCATTATAAAAAATACAATCTGCTCTTACAGTAGAACACTAGCATTCTTTCGTGATAAGTGTTGTCAGTAAAAAGTAAAGAGAATCGCTTTATCCATTTATATCGTAGGGATTATATATAAACTCATGTCAATTTATTGTAGTATATGGGAACTTATTACAAATACACTAATATGTTATTCTTTTTTTGGGACGGATTTTTCTAAACTACTTTTGTGGTTCTACTTAATGATTGGCAAGTAGTTTAGTAATTACCTTAATTGTTTGAACTATAACCATTTTGCTCATGTATGTCTTGGATTATATAAAGTTTTCATATTTGAAACATCAACATCCCTGAGATCATGTTCAAAGTGTAACATCTCACTAAATCCATTCATTTTATAGCTTTCTTTACAAATCATTTTGGTCTTAAACATATTGCAACTTAACATGAACAATAGAAAAGTTTGTGTCATTTGGAAATAGTTGGTAAAAAGTTTGTTTACTTTTTTCGTTTGGAGTTGTTCTATGATGCACAGTCGTTGATATTATAAGATGTACATGCCAGATGAGGACCATTTTCTGTGTTAAAGTGTCATGGCATTGCCCTCCATTTTAATCTGGTAAAATATCATATTATCAGCTCATTCATAACCACTAAATGGAAGAATGAGATGTTTCAAATATATTAAGTGACTTAAGTCATTGTCCCGCTCATTACTTGGGGGTATTTTTGTAAACTCCGCTAGGCTTTGTATTCTTCTGATAGATTCTCGCTATACTTCGAAGTTAAGTCTTCTTTACTCTTCTTTAGTTTCCTAGGTCTTCCCTGGACTTTTGATTTGAGCTCTCTCCACTTCTCTCTCTCTCTATTAAACGTGAGCCTGGGTTTCCTTTCTTCTTACAGCTGGGATTATTATAACTTCGCCTCTGCGGTTATGCTCATCATCTTATGCTCTGCGATTTTCATTTGCTTTCGGTAAGGACTCTCATATATTTGAGAGGATTTCTGACTTATTGCACATCAACGAAACCATCTTCTACTAACAATCTTGGAGAGTCCATCTCAATCAATTTTCGCATTATTGGTTAGTATTATATCTCAAGTCTAACTCTTTATATTTATATATTTCACATGCCATATTATATCTGGATTTCCCCCCTGAATTTCATGCACAACCCTAGATTTAGATGAAAGTGTAAATCGAATCTATCAATTCTCCAATTACTATAAATGCTCCCTTCAAAGCCATTTTAAAGAATGCTAATCTGCAGTTGGATGATATGACTCCAAGCCATATATGATTGAAATAGTTCTCATCAATGAGCAGGTACAACTCTCCAAGATTCATTTACTACAGTTAGATGTTATGTAGCTTTTCTCTCTGCACACTGCATATGTCCTTATTAATGAGTGTAATTTGCCTCTCTTGCATACTCTGCATAATCAGATATAATGATTATACGAGAGGAAGTGTTTGAAACGTTGATACTTTATATTGAAAACTTGATGACGACTCGAGACCAAAAGTTTGTCTTTGGACATTTTCTGTTCTAAAAACACACCATTCTGAAATCACAAAATGGGATCTAAGCCTCTAACTTCTAAGTGTTTAAAATATTTGATGTTTAATGTCTTCTTCAATTTCGAAACCCTGAACTCTCTATTATAAACCTGTTCTACTCTAAGAGCAGATTGCATTTTGCACAATGGAATAAAATTACACTAATCTATTTTTTAGTGGAAAGAAAATAAAAGTTCTCCCTTCCTTTATTCTGATCTATTTTTTCTCTATAAGATTTTAAAACTCCTTAATGGCCAAAAGATTTAAAAAGTGTAGTTATTTAGTGGTTCTTTTATTGTCCTCTTAGGTTAAAATTTTGGAAAACATAATCATATTCTATCTTAAAATATTATTAAAAACATATCCTTTCTGAACTTTAGCTTTCTATAGTGTAGTAAAAATGAAGATCTTACATTTTTAGTGATATATAAAATGGGCAACCAAATACACTGATTATTGTGAAGATGTACACTAACCAATCCCGGGAAGGAAAAGCACTTTTTTATATTTTTACTCTTTTTATGAATTATGCTATGAGTTTATTACTATTGCCATCGTCCAAAAAGTTTGTGCATTTCAATGGATATTTGTACTATTATATAATTTAATTTTACACTTTATATATATATATATGTGTGTGTGTGTGTGTGTGTGTGTGTGTGTGTGTGTGTGTGTGTGTTTTAAAATGCATATTATATACCTGGTATTTAAGATTTCATTTATTTTTAAATTTTATATATTTTGTTATATATATATTATTTTTAAGAGTTTATGTATTATTTAAATGGATATTCTAACATGTTACATAATTCTCTAAAGGACAAATTGATTGCAAAAATAACTCATTTCACTGGCAATTTTAAAATTAGTCTCACCTTTTGATAACAGGGAAACACTGCAAATATACCCTTCATATTTACCTTCATGTGTGGATATATTCTTAAAGTTTATATTTAGGAGAAAATTTAATTTTATTGACCTTAATTTTAAAAATGTTAATAGCCATTTTAAAAATTTAAAAGAAAATAATGAACATATTCAGGTTTGAAAATTAATAAATAAAAATAAAAAACCATTTTATGTTCAATGCTTCATTGTTAAGATGTATATCAAAATTTAATATTATTAAGATAAAAAGGAAGCATTGGGCACAAAATAATATTTCAAATTTTAAATTTTTTTATACATCTTTTAATACGTCGGGGAAAAAGATAAAGTGAAAAATCAGAATTTTAAGTTAAAGTTTTAAAATTTTTATTTTATATTAACAATATTAAATTGATAAAAGTATTAAAAAGAAGCATTGCACACAATGGATTTTAAAAAAGTTTTACGGAGTATTTCATTAATTTTTTACTTTTCAAATATATAATTTTATTTATTCAAATTAATAAGGTTAAATTTGATCTTAAACGTGAACTTTAGAGACATTTTTATACCTTTCAAAACATTAGGGGCATATCAGCACATGGAGCTAAAAATCAAAGATATATTTGCACCTTTCCTCATTGATAATATGATAGTATTTCGATATTCTTTCTTAGCGAAATTGATATTGTTCAATGAAACAATTAATAGGGATCAATAGGAAGTAATTACAATAACAAAACATCGATAGAGATCAATAAAGGGAAATGGAGCGAAACAATCGTCTCCGTATTATCAAAAAGTAAGAGTATTTTGAAAACATCAACCACAACGGGTTTTTAAAAATAAGCTCTTATAGAAATTCCTATTTTATTATCTACTTAAAGTGAAACATGTTATGTTATTCTATGGGTGAAATGGATGAATGATATCTTAACTATTGGTATTGTTGCATTTTAATTCCTTATCTCTTACATGAATTAAATCATTATCATAATTAATCATAAATGTTTCAATTGACAATACAATTCAAATTTCTGGCCAAGAAATTATACGTGGTAGCCGGGATTCTATGCGTAGAGTCCATTTTACCTTATGTTTGTTCATGTCATCACTATAGGGTGGAGTCTACACATGGAATTTTGATTGCCAGGTAAGACTTTTTTGCCGCAAATTTGAAAAATATTGTCAATTGAAACATTTATATATAGTTATGGTACTGATTTGAAACATTTATGTGTAGTTAAGAATTAAGGTGCCATAGCACAACAATATCCATAGTTAAGGTACCATATATACATTTGACCCATTATTCTACTTATAGAGATATTGTCCTTATTATCATTGTCGAACAAACTAGATAATTTTGAATAAATTAATCAATCAGTTTGTAATCCCGTGCAACGCACGGGTGAAAGACTAGTAGGACTTGATACCACGGTATTGTTTAATAGGATCGAAGATGACATGTTTTTCCAATTTTAACCTCCAACATAAAGAGACGTCTGTAGGCAAAAAAAACTATCGAGAACATGAGTTTTTCATTATTCCTTTATTTTGTATTTATTCCTTCATTTTGTATCCACAAACAATAAAAAAAGTTTGAGCCTCAATAACTTGGCCCTCATTTTTTCTGTCCATCACTTTGAAAGCCAAACGAAACCAATAATTTGCAAAATTCATTTTTGTGCGTTTTGAATTCCGTGTAAAGCAAGAATCCATTCCTTTATCGTTTCATGGCATAACATAATTTTATTTTCAGAATGTCATATTTTTGAAATTTTTACAACTAAGAAAATGTTTAAAGTTGTATGTTGGCAAACGAGAAAATAAAAGCGTTGCAACTGAAAAAGAGCAAAGAATACCATTCTTAATGAGATTTATATAAAAATAGAGGATAAGAATTTTTGTGATTTTGGTGTTTTCATGGCATTATAGATATTGGGCTTTCAAGGAAATACTATTGTCATCTTTACAAAGTTAGTGTCAGCCATAAAAATGGCACTATATGTACAGAAACAACATTTTTATATATGAAAAAGCATGACATTAATAGTATTGTTTTTGCCATACAGAAGGAGTTAATGCCATAAAAATGACACTGAGTGTCAAAATAATATTTTCATGTAAAAAACATGACATTATTAGCAATGTATTTGCAAAAAGTAAATTTTTCAATTTAAAGACATAAAGTTAGCAACGGTTAAGAAGATTTGGAATTCAAATCATAAACTTAATTTGTAGAATTAAAAAATTGATTGACATGAGGAGAAGAAGAAGATCAAACTTACCAACGACGAATCGTACTCCCTGCCGTCCGCCGCCCGTTGATTGCCGGAGATATTGAGAAAATTCACCACCTATACTTCAGTAATCCGTCGGAAATTGGGTGAAACTAAAATTGAGAGAATAAATTCACCACCTATACTTCAACCTCTGCTTTCTTCTTCTATTGTTTTTTTTTTTTCTTATTTGTGATTCATATTTGGTTTATTTTGAGGTTCTAAATTAAGAAATTTTATTTGATTTATGATTTTTTATCATTTAAATACAAACGTCTAGTGATGGGAAAAAAATGAAGTTGAATTTTAAAATTTCAATTTAATGAATTTGGATCTCAAAATGCTATAATGGACGAGGAGATGCAATAGAAATAAGAGGAAAAGGATTGGAAGAGGAAACGTGACAGTGGAGGAAGGGGGGTCGGGACTCGGGAGAGAGGGAAAAGTGGAGTGGACAGGCGAGAGGTGCAGATGTGATGCGGAGAGTACAATCGGTACACTATTCAAATTAGTCCTATTTAGGGAACAAATTTAAGATAACTCATATTTTGGAACTTTTGAAATGTCTTAGTCTTATTCAAGGTAATAACTTAAAAATAAACTCATTGATCCTTAACAACAATTATTTTAACGAAAGTTCCTGGAATAAGAGTAAACTTGTTTTGGGATTTCAAAGTAGAATTGCTATGTTTTTTCCAAAATAGGAGTAAAATGAAAATATCTACTTGGAGTCTTTATTGCCAACATAGGAAAAATTTCTAAAATAAGAGTAAATAGATTTTGGAGATCAAAAATAAATCTGCTATGTTTTTCTTCACAAAAATATGAGTAACATAACTGATGGATAGTCTACCCGGGGGTATATATTTGAAGGGTTATCGCGGGGAGTAACTTAGAGAGAAGTCAGAGCAAGTAAATATAGAGAGAGAGAGAGTGTGTATTCTAAATGTGGAGCGTTTTCAGCATGTGTCCTTACAAATGGGGAAATGGGGTGCTATTTATAGTAGCAATAAATGCCGGGCAGGGACACGTGTCAAGCGCTCATTGGCCGAGGGGTCGCCTCAACTGGTTGGCGCTGGCAGCCGCATGTGGCCGCATTTAATGCGGCTGTTGGATGGGACGTCTGTGCAGAGTACGGTGATCTGTACGCATGTGAGGCGGATATCTTGTCGAGTGAGATGCCTTCGGCCATAGAGCAGTAGCCGAGGGCTCTTCCACCCGATGGCTACCCCGGGTGCCGAGGGCTCACAGTGCCGAGGGCTACTGTTTTCGCCGTTTTCTCCCAGTTTCTTAGTTTGCTTGAGAAACCCGTCCTGTGAGAATTTAGAGCGTTGTGCAGACTGCTTGGTACTCCCGTGCGCAGTGCAGACTGCTTGGTACTCCGGGCGCTGTGAATTGGGCCTGTTGGGCCTTTTGGGCCTGTTGGGCCTTTGCTGGAGTAGTAGGAGTCTATGGGCCGGGGGTTCCCGGGCCATATACTCCATCAGGAGTCCCTCACTCCTTTTGCCGAAAGGTACTTGAGGGAAAAGGAGTAATTTGTGCTTGCCCTTTGATGTTGTCCCGTTGTGATCCCTGAAGTTGGTGAGGAGTTGTTGCTCTTGTGTCCCTGCCGAAGGCAGTCCCTCAATTACCCACATGTCGGGACTTGAGGGCTTGCTTTGTTGTTTGTTGGAATTTCACAGATTTTGTAATTTAATGTTTTTCCCGAAGGGGTCCTCCAGTCCCCCACTCCTTGAGGCACTTGTAAAGTGGTGGAAAGGAGTAAAGTAGTTACGTTGCCGTTGTGGGCCGAAGGCTGACGCTTTTCGTTTCATTTCGGGGGGATGCCTCGTTAAAAACCTCATTAGGAAAAACCCTTTGGGAAAAAAATCCTAATGAGGGAAAAAGAGTGCACCGAATTCCCCCAATGATGAATCGAAAATATCAAACCTTGGTACAAAGTGGGGAATGACGGGAATGCCGAAGGCTCTCTCTTCTGAGGGCTCCTGTGTTGATTAGCCGAAGGCTGGCTGTTGATGTCCTGGTGGCGCCGAAGGGGAGCCCCTCAATCCAGGGATCGAGGGCCTGCCAGATGAGGGCAGCAGTGAAGCTGTTACCGGGGGGTCCACTGTTTGTTGATGAAGTGGTGATTAAGATACCCAAGGGCCGTGGGCCATCCGTCAATGAGGCACTCCCCGGGGGCTATCCGGTTTTGCGGTGCTGAGGGGAAATCCCCGAGGGGTACCCCTGATATGCAGCCCCAGGGATCTGAAGGAGCGATCCCGAAGGCGTGTGTAATGTGCGGTGTGGGGCACAACCCGGGGGCACTTCTGGGTGAGTGCACCCGGAGGCTGTCCTTGACGAAGTGGAGTGAAGCAGAAAGCCCGGGGGCTTCCAAAATATAGCCGTTGGAAATATAGCCGTTGGAATATGTAACGATGGGATATAGCCGTTGGGGGGGGGAACACGTGGCGTGTGATGGCTGGCTGTCCGTGGGCGGCATCACCGGTTGGGCGAAGACGCGGTGAGTAATGATGGCGTCCATCCGGAGGCCCGGAACCCAGGCCCAAGCCCGGATTCCAGCGCCTATAAATACCCCAAGGCCGGGCATTCCTCTGTGTGCGAAAAACTTGTTAGCGAAGCTCTGCCAATTTTTCTAGAGAGAGAAACAGCAGCCCCCGGTTGAATCCCCTGTTCTTAAGGTCAGTTCTCCAGTTACCTTTCACCTCTTAGCTACCTGTACTGCGCCCCTAGGCTAGGAGATAGAACATTTAGAAAACACTAGTTGTACGAGCCTTCGAACTAGAGCGCGAATGTCGTCCGAGAGCGATTCTCAAGATATCTCGAGGACGCCCTCGATGGAGGACGAAGGCATCTCTGGCGTGGAGTCAAGCAGTGGTCAACCCTCGGATGGTGGTGATGCGGCCCTGGCCCGGGAGGTCCAGAAGGAACTCACTGCGGAGGTTGAAGCCGAGGGCTTCGAGCAGGAGTGCGATGATGAAGACTTAGCCCTCGCCTGGCAGACAGCGGAGGATGAGGCACAGAATGAGAGCTCGAGGGTTACGATTGCTGTTCTCCCCCCTCGGGGTTCTGGGGAGGCCAGTAGCTCGAGGCCGTTGGATCCGATACCTCTGAGGGCGGTTTCCGGTGTGAAGAAGAAGAAGGCCGCTACCAAGAAGAAGGAGAGGGCCGTCGATCAAGGAAAGCCCGTAGACATGCCCGAGGGGTATAGTTGGCTGAACACTGAGGCCCTCGAGATCAGGTCGAAGGCTGACAGGGCAGATCTGTACGTGACTCAGCTGCACGTGGGGCCCTCGGCCGAAGTGGTGGAGCCAGGTCCCGACGACGTGTTGTCCAGGGCGCCCGAGGGGTGTATCGCTATTCACGTCCTTTCGGTCTCCATGGGACTCAGGTTCCCTCTGCACCCATTCCTCCGGGAATATTTGCGGTTTGTTGGCTTGGTCCCCTGCCAACTCACGCCCAACAGCCACTCCTACATTGCGGGGTTCCTTCAGCTCTGCAAGTCCCGAGGGGTGAAGCCCAGCCTAGATTTATTCTTCCAGAGTTTTAATCTGTGCCGGGGGGGCACGAAAACGGCGAGGGGTACGCCAACCTGCAGCAGATTGCCCGCTTCAAACTATTCTCCGATGCTCCTTCTTCCAACAAAGGATGGAGGGAACGTTGGTGCTACGTGAAGTTGGATGAGAGCCCCTTCCCGAGGGAGCTACGTGACCGATTCCGAAGGCACGAAAAGATCCGGAGTGCCGCTCTTGAGAAGGACGACCTAAAGCTGGCCAAGTTCCCGGAGGGGAAAGACAAGAACGTGGCGATCAAAGACTGCACCCTCGAGGAGGATTTGTACACCCTCGGGTTCCGGAGGTACCGCTTCATAGGGGAAACCGATGAAAAGTACCCTCCCTTCAACAAGGCCTTCGGAGGGGCCGGAGGTAGGAGCCGAGGGCTTTAGAATTTTGTACTTAGTTTTTTTTTTGGATGTTATCGTCCCTTCGCTTAGACCCGTCGGACTAACCCTTTGTTTCCTCTGTGCAGGTATCCCCGTCTCCATGGTGAATGTAAAGGGCCTTGCCCGTTTGAAGAAACAGGACCCGAAGGGGTCGGGACAGGGCGTCCAGAAGCCCGCTACTGCCCTCTTTAAGAAAGCCGAGGGCGATGCCGCTGCCGGTAAGAGGAAGGCAGTGACCAAGGGGTCCCCCCCGGCTACCAAGAAGCCGAAGAAGGGGGATGTCGCCGAGAAGGAGCCCCCGGTCATTATTGCCGATGGGCACCCCGCCTCCGGGGTGCAGGTGGAGAAGCTGCCGGTTGGAACGCCGGCGGGGGCAGAGGAGTCGCTGCCTGAGATCCTCACAGTTGCTTTCCCGAGGGGTATGTCTTTGGCCAGCGGCGCCGTCGACCCGGGGGCCATCCTGAGGGGTATGACCCCTGAGACGGATAGGGCTGCCCTCGGGGCCTACAATGATGCGGCCCTCGAGGACCACATTCTCCGCTCCTCCCTCTCTGTAAGTGTTTACCTGGCTTTCTCCATCTTCTCCTTTGATTATTTTTGTGTGATTGCCTTTAATTGTTTTTGTTGTTCTGCAGGCTTGCTTAGCCCTCGGCGAACAGGCTCGGAGGCTTCAAGAATGGCGCCTCCACAGAGCGGAGCAAGACGCCAGAATGAGGGAGTGCCTCCTCAAGAACCAGGAGGCGGTGAAGCTGGGGGCCCAGCTAGAAGAGGAGCTCCGGCAGATGAGCTTGAAACTGGAGGCTGCAGAGAAAGCAAGGCTGATGCTGAGGCCGCTGCCAGGAGAGCTGCTAAAGAGGCCGAGGACTCCAAAGCGCTAGCTGTCGCCAAGGCTCAGGAGGAGGCCGTTGAGGCCTTTGTCGCCGAGGGTTGGAGAGCCGAGGGGCGCAAGATGTGGGTGTCCTCGGTCGTGGAGGCCTGCGTTGAAGAATGGGCCGAGGGCCCTGGGTGGGAATGGATGGCCCGGAAGGGCAGAGAGTACTATGAAGCCGGCGAATTCTTCACCCAGGCCCTCATCTACCGGAGGATGGCGCGGCATTTGGGCATTGAGCAAAAGGACTTCTCCCCCTAGGCGTATGGCCTTCCTCCCTTGCAGCCTGACGTCCGTGAGCCGCTCCCGGAAGGTGTTCAGAGGCCCGACCTTGAGGACACGGTGTTGAAGAATGAGGCCGAGGACGACGCTGTCGAGACCGGAGCGGAGGCATCATCGAGGCCGGCTGTAGAGGGCGCCCCAGTGAACGATGCTGTCGTAGCTGTGGAATGACTTTGTACTTAGAAATCTTTGAACATCTTTTGTAATGAACAATATTGTTCCTTCGGCTTCGGCCCGTTTGTAAATTCACACTTACTCTTGTTTTTGATGAAATGCATGCTGCCTCCGGGCTTTTCATATTCGAATACGCCTTATGTTTTGAATGTATGCCTTCTCCTTCGAATGTATGTCTAGGACTTAGAATACTATCTGATGGTAGCTAGCCCTTAGGAGCCTTCGGTAGTTGGGCACCCTCTGCTGGATATGCAACCGATGGTTCGGCAGCAATTAGGACTTAGAAAATTTTTTCTAAGTGTAGCACAGCATGAGGCCTTCGGGCGTTTGTAGTAACCCACCTCCTAGGACATAGAAAAATCTCTAAGTGTAAATTCCCCCTTGAGAGCCTTCGGGATACGGCGCCCATTCCTGATGTGTGAATGTTGGACCGAGGGCCCAATGCACAGGACTTAGAGATTTTTGCAAGTGTAGTATGCCATGTAGCCTTCGGCTACTGTGGAGCCCCACCTGTAATATTGAATAGGCCGGGGGCTAATTCTTTTAGGACTTAGAAGATTTTCTTGAGTGTTGATTCCTTGTGAACTGTAGCCCTCGATTGATAGGTAGCCTTCGGCAATTAGGTCCCTTGAGATGAGGGTGAAATATGTAGGACTTAGAAAATCTTCTAAGTGTAGAGTTTCCCTCGAGAGCCTTCGGGAGTTGGCATCCTTTCATGATGTGTGAGTAGTTGACCGGGGGGGGGGGGGGGGAATACATGTAGGACTTAGAAAATATTCTAAGTGTGGATTTTCCCTTGGGAGCCTTCGGGAGATGGCGTCCCTCCTTGATGTATGAGTAGTTGGCCGGGGGGGGGGGGGGGGGGGGGGAAACATGTAGGACTTAGAAAATCTTCTAAGTGTAAATTTCCCTTGGGAGCCTTCGGGAGATGGCATCCCTCCTTGATGTATGAGTAGTTGGCCGGGGGGGGGGGGGGGGGGAAACATGTAGGACTTAGAAAATCTTCTAAGTGTAAATTTCCCTTGGGAGCCTTCGGGAGATGGCATCCCTCCTTGATGTATGAGTAGTTGGCCGGGGGGGGGGGGGGGGGGGGGAAACATGTAGGACTTAGAAAATCTTCTAAGTGTAAATTTCCCTTGGGAGCCTTCGGGTGATGGCATCCCTCCTTGATGTATGAGTAGTTGACCGGGGAAAAACAGGTAGGACTTAGAAAATATTCTAAGTGTAAATTTCCCTCGGGTGCCTTCGGGTGATAGGTGCCCTCTGATTCCACATCACTTTGCGAGATGCCCGGGGGCTACTCATTCAGGACGGGACACCCTCGTTTTTTAAGTGTTGTTGTATTGCATGACCTTCGGCCACCATATTCCCTTGGCTGTAATATTGATTGGGCCGGGGGCTCCATCTTTAGGACTTAGAATTTTTTGTAGTGCTGCTTCCCTGTGTAGCCTTCGGGTGCCCGGGGGCTGCTCCTTCAGGACTTAGGATTTTTCTAAGCATAAATTGATGTTGAATCCTGTTGTTGTGAAGAAAGCCAATGAGGAGTGTGTGCCCTCGGCATACACTTTAAAAGTTGTAGAATTTGACCCTTGTCATGGGGAAAGGGCCCTCGGTATTCGTGCATAACAGATGCCTTCGGTGTTTTCTTTGAAGTACCGTTTAGTGGACCTTGGATAGTCCAGTCCCTTTGTATTGTTGAAGCCCTCGGTGTTTTTGTGACCGGAGGTGACCAGGTAGTGGATTTAGCCGTTTCCTGATGGTATTTCTTTGAGTAGTATCCTTCGGGAAATAGGAGTCTTCAATTGCCGGAGGTGTTCCCGTGGGGAGCCCTCGGCATGTTGTGATTTTGTTGGAGTGTACTCTTTGATTTCTCGCTGAGTCTACTCCCCTTCACCCCCCCTTTTTTTTTTTTTTGGTTGGTGGTGAAGGGAAGGCATCAAGAAACTTGGTTTCTTGGTAAGGCTGGGCCTATTAGGAGACCATCAGAATACACCAATGGCTCTCCTCCCTCGGGTTAACCTTCCGAGTGCCGAGGGGATCGAGGGACGTTTCCTGGGCACAAGATATGGTGGTCCGTAACCTGCCTCCCCTTGGGGGATGGCGCGGAAAGCGCCTCATTTTTGAAAGTCGTGCCCTCGGCGCTAGACATAGTCTGTGGCCTGCCACACCCTTGGGGTGGTGGCGCGGGGAGCGTTTCGGTTTGGAAGTCGAATCCTGGGCATTTCTCATGCCTGTCATACCCTGGGGACTTCCGTAGGAGCTTTGGCTTCAAAACCGTAGCAGAGGGAGAAGGGTGTTTCACCTGTAGCGCGCCGAGGGGTAGTGCGGTAGGCCCAGAGGATGTTGTGAAGTTCTTCCACCCAGCCACCACCCTCGGCCTCCAGCTTCTTTTTGAGGCCCTCGAGCAAGGTCCGGTTGGCGTTCTCTACCTGCCCGTTGCCTTGAGGGTAGGCAACGGAGGAGAAGGTGTGTTTGATGCCCCATGCCTCCAGAAGGGCGCAGAAGGGGGCTGCCTCAAATTGTGTTCCATTGTCGGAGATGATCTGCTGGGGGACGCCAAACCTTGTGAGGATGTTCTTGAGGACGAAGTGACGGCACTTCGCCTCTGTGATGCTGGCGAGGGGTTCAGCCTCCACCCACTTGGTAAAATAGTCGACGGCCACAATGATGTATCTGTTGTTGGAGGTACCCCTCGGCAGAGGGCCCACAAGGTCTATCCCCCATCGAGAAAATGGGACAGATGTGCTGATGGGGGCATAGTTGACCGCTGGCCTGCCGGGGGCTTTCTGGAAATGTTGACATGCGGTGCACCTTCGGGCAAGGTCAGCACAATCCCTGGCCATGGTTGGCCAGAAGTAGCCCTGGAGAATGAGCCTTCGGGACATGGAGAAGGGTCCCTGGTGAGCTGAGCAAGTGCCACTGTGCACTTCCTCCATTGCGACCTCGGCTTCATCTGGATGAAGGCACCGAAGTAGCGTGCCATTGTAAGATCGTTTGTAGAGCCTTCCATCTTCGATGGTGTAGCTGGGAGCCCTCAGCTTTGCCAGTTTAGCGCGGGCCTCATTCTCGGGTAGCTGCCCTGCGGAGATGAAGGCGGTGATATCTGAAATCCAATCCTCCTGACGTTGTTGTATGTTCATCACGGGGCTTGCATGGATGCTTGAGAGGCTGAGTTCCTCGATTTTGGCAATCTTGGAGATGTACTCGGGGGAGTCTGCCGAGAGTTTAGATAATATGTCGGCCTCGGAGTTCTGAGCCCTCGGTATTTGAGTGAGAGAGTGTGCCTCAAATACCTTAAGCAACTCCTTGGCCGCTTCCTTGTACTGTTTCATTCTTCCTTCCTTGGCCTCATATTCTTCAGAGATTTGGCCAACGACCAACTTGGAGTCGCATTTGATGTGGATCTGCCGAGCCCTCATGTTGGCAGCCAGCCGAAGGCCACATAGGAGGGCTTCATATTCGGCCTCATTGTTGGAGACTTTGAAGGAGAAGCGGATTGCATAGTAGGCCCTGAAGCCCTCGGGAGTAATGAGGACTACCCCTCTCCCGCATGCTTTGGTCGCGGATGAGCCGTCAGTGTAGAGGGTCCACCAGTCGTCCGAGGTAGCCGAGGGCTCCCCGTCCGTGGCTGTTCTTGCGGTACACTCCGTCACAAAGTCCGCTAGGGCTTGGCCCTTGATGGCAGGCCTTGGACGGATGTCAATGTTGTACTGGCTCAAGAAGATAGCCCATTTCACCATGCGGGAGGAGCTGGTGGGGCTCCTCATGAGGGCGCCGAGGGGTTGATGGGTGAGGACCTGAACCGGGTGAGCCTGAAAGTAGTGGCCCAACTTCTTGACAGTCCAAACGATGGCTAACACCGTTTTTTCCACAGGGGAGTACCTGAGCTCGGCCTCCCTTAGGGTCTTGCTAACATAGAAGATGGCATGTTGGATGCCGTCTTCCTCCCGGATGAGCATAGAGCTGATGGCCGCCGGGCTAACCCCAAGGTAGAGGTAGAGGGTCTCCCCTACCTTGGGTTTGGAGAGCACAGGAGGTGAAGATAGATATCTTTTGAGCTCGTCGAAAGCCCCCTGGCATTCAGGAGTCCATAGAAAGCCAGCCGTCTTCCTCATGATCTGGAAGAAGGGTAGAGATTTCTCCGCCGATTTAGATAGAAAGCGGTTGAGGGCTGCCAGGCGGCCCGTCAACCGTTGGACTTCCTTGACATTGCGTGGGGGCTCCATATTGATGATGGCCTGGATCTTCTCGGGGTTGGCCTCAATACCCCTCCGGCTCACCATGTAGCCTATGAATTTGCCCCCTTGGACGCCGAAGGTGCACTTCTTCGGGTTTAGCCGAAGGTTGAATTTTTGCATGATGGCGAAGATTTCCCGGAGGTCGTCAGCATGGCTGGAAGATTGTTTGCTCTTGACGATCATGTCGTCAACATAGGCCTCCATGGTGCGCCCTAGGACGGCTTGAAAGACCCGGGCCACCATCCGGGTGTAAGTGGCCCCCGAGTTCTTTAGGCCGAAGGCCATCACTAGGTAGCAGAAGATGCCCTCGGGAGTCATGAAGGCAGTTTTTTCGGCGTCTTCCTCGTGCATGAAAATTTGGTGATACCCTCGGAAGGCATCGAGGAAGGACATGATCTCACACCCTGCGGTCTCATCCACCAATTGATCAATGTTTGGTAGAGGGAATGGATCCATGGGGCATGCTTTGTTGAGATCGGTGTAGTCCACGCACATGCGGAAGGTGGGGGGCTTCTGTGCGAGGACTACATTTGCTAGCCATGAGGGGTATTTCACCTCCTTGATGTGCTTGATTGAGAGGAGCATGGCGACCTCCTTCTTCACGAATTCCCTCCTCTCGGCGGAGAGGGGTCTCCTTCGTTGTTGTACTGTTTTTACCGAAGGGTCCACCGAGAGGCAGTGGGTGATGACCCTTCGGCTGATTCCCGGCATGTCCTCCGGCCCCCATGCAAAGACAGTGGAGTAGGCGCGGAGGGCGTCGGTGATACCGGTCTTCAAATTTTCAGGGAGCTGGGCTCCAATCTTCACGACTCTCTCCGGCTGGGCCGGATCGAGCGCAAAGTCTTCTACGTCCTCGGCCGGTTCAG